AGTAAGGGAGTAAATGATGAATTATAATCAAAAGGGATAGACATCTACAAGTTCCATGCAATTACAAACTAAAATCACACAGCAGTGCTTACTAATTTAACACTAATGATTCACAGTGTTATGAATACATCCATTATTAATACAATGGGGGACGGCATATGCGAGATAAAGCACCCTGAAATATCACTCTTCCCAATGTTCATGAATCATAGTTAAGTAGAGCTATGACCCTGCACCCAACAGAGACTTTAACAACTGTGACCAGCAGTTCAGTGCAATAGTCCTGTGATAAACCCAGTGAAGCTTATAATGTTCCAACTCTGATGAGACTTTTTCAGTGGTTCAAAACCAGGAGCGTTTTGAGCCTGTACACCGATGCTCTTGTGGTGGATATTAAATGTATCTGGCGACAGTTGGGTACAAGGAGGGATCCAGTTTATCCTGCTTGAGGTATACACATAAGAGTGAATGGCTCACTGTTTAACAATGTTAGTGAGTATTTATCTCTTTCAGCACAAGACAATGGGTCTACATCGGTCGATTCTATGGATTCGGTTCCATTCTTTAACAGTACCAGTTCAACATATTTCTTTCGAAGGTGTCTGCACATGGTAACTACTGTTTAGGTGAGGCTGAGAAGAGTGTATGCTATGCTATGGTTTAGCAACGAAAACATTTGGTTCAGATCAGGGGGGGTGTTGGTTATGGGTAGAGGAGAGAAAAGAGCAAACATTCTTCAGTCACAGAAGACGTGAACATGTTGATTTTGTGTTTGTGTGTTGTGTCTGGTGTGTGTATGATTTGTAGCTGTTTGTGGTAATGTTGACTGGGATTATACGTGCAACTGGTTTCCATAAGCTTCATGTCCTGCATATACATTTGTCAGATTTTTTTATCTTCTGCAGACATGAAACCAGCATTCCCTCAGATATCTCCATGTACTGATCCGGACTACCATAGTAGACATTATTTTAAAATAAATTGCCATCACATTTTATTTTTTACATCAATTTAGTTTTTGAATTTGTATGTCTTTATATGTGCTTACTGGCTGAGTATGGAGCTGGTGGTCTGAGAGCTGCAGGGTAAAGAAGCAGGAGCAGTAACGTGTCTTTCTCTCTCGATTCAGGTTTTTGGGGATTTTAAAATTCCTGCCTCTGCCCTGTCAGCCCCCTCAGTTATATGTTGCATAGCAAAGAAATAAATCCAATTAGGTCATTCGTTACTGTGAAGCTGATCGTCTCTCTAAATGCAGTCAACTGGTGGTTGAATAACACTGTTTTACTGTTTGTAGGTCACTGTATCCTTGTGTAGAATACAAAATATGATGAAATTAATGACGTGTCCCTGACAGTGTGTATCTTACCTGTCACTGTATGCAGCAGCTGTGGCAGCAGTAGGTTGGGTATATCTGTAGGCAGCATAACCACCCTAGTAACACACACACACACACACACACACACACACACACACACACACACACACACACACACAGAGAGAGATAACAAAAATTAATGATAATACTTGTGATTGTGTTTAAGGTGTGTGATATAAATATATTCGCTGGCGTTATCTTTCACTTAATACTCCAGACCTGTTCTGTTAGATATGAGTCAGGGGTCACACTCGGCCAAATCGCACTTTTCAATGTGGAATCATTGCAGCCGAGGAAATGTCCTGGAGTTATGGTTAAATCATTCATTCAGAAATTGTCTGTACAAACTTACATTCACAGTATAAATCTATAAATGTCATCTCCCTGGTCAGCACTGTAGAGTTAACGTGTTCTAAATATGACTGTTTGGAATAGGCCGTTTGCTTGGCTTCAGAATTATTTATTCCCTCAAATTAGTGAGTCCTCAGACAGTTCTACAATATACTGTCATTTTAGATGCCACACACTAACCTGTTCTACTGCTGCAATAAGCACATGAACGTGAGTTGTCTGAACTGGAGTTATTTTTTTATTCACTGTATGTTGGCTATTTCAGAGGTCCGCTCCGCAACACACACATCTTCAGACCCAAGTTCCCAACTTTTCAAAATAAAAGCTCTGTAATTTAGCTTGAAATAAAGCATTGCAGCAACAAATGACCATTGTGCATTTGTTTGCTAAATTGCTAAAGAGGAAGTAGTTCTGAATGTTGTCGCCGTGACCGAGATCAGCACTTGTGATACTGTGAATGTCTCTGTCTGTCCAATATTGTAAAATGAAAGCAAACTTTTGAAATGATCTGTCGGGCCAGATGTGATTGCAGGCTGGCATTTGCCAACTGCGGCTGTAGTTTATCCTAGGAGGCAGAAGAAGAAGAACTCTGTCCACAGACTGCTTGTACGCACGCTGCCCCGCCCCACTGACTGCAAGGCAAGGATAACTTGAACATATCTCAAGTCAAATCGCACCAAATTGGGCACAGATTTGGACGGTAGTTACCAATACACATACCAAGTGTGAGGCTAATAAGATGGTGCTCAACATTTGCAAGCTACAAATAGACAGACAGATCAAGACCCTACATTTGAACTAAAGAACGTTATTGAATAACACAGTTATATTTCAGTGATGTTAGTGATGCATTATATATATATATATATATATATGAATGTTAGCACATACCTAAAGCCACAATAGCCACACACAATGGAACATCAGACATGAAATCTGTAGAACAATTTTTGTTTCCAAAATATATTCTGCCTGATTTTTTGAAAGCAAATTTGTGGCCAGGAATTTAAAAATGCCAAGGTCAGAAGTTCCTGCAACTTTTAGAACTCACATTCACTTATTTCAGTGTTTACTTCTTTTCATTCTGAACAGTTTTTAATCTGCTATCTGATAAAAAGAAAATACAGTTCTGGTCAAGAAAAAACAAAATATTTATATAGCAACTGTTTAGGCCTAAACATAGTAAAAATACAATTCATACTCACTTTATGTATGAAATACTGAAACATGTGAGAGCATTTGTACATTTGTGTGTTTGGTGAGTGTTGTTCAATTTGAGCTCACGTGACTAAACTGTCTGAAGGTAATGTAACCAACATCATGAGGTGAAATAACCGTCTGTTCGGTTATGCTTCAGCGACTCAAATTTACATATTTAAAAAACTGAACTAATATTCAATTTTAGACAAATGTTAAATCTTGAAATCATTCCCCTATCACCAGTTATTGTTTCACTAAAACTGCATTGTTGTAGGAGCTCCTTAATGACAAATGGTTTGTATTTATAAAGCACTTTTCTAGTCTTGATGACCACTCAAAGCTCTTTACAATACAGTTTGCTATYCACCCATTCACACACACATTCATACAGTGCATCTATTAGCAGCACATTTTTTTATTTTTTTCGGGGAGGTTCAGCATTTTGCCGAAGGACACTTCCGCGTGCAGATGGGGAAGATTGGGTTTGAACTGCCGACCTTCTGGCTCTACGCCTCAGCTACAGCCGCCCCAAAATGCAGCATGATGAAAGATATTTAATTTTAAAAGATCTTGTTCCACATTTCTCAACATTCTCTGCACTTTTTAAAACGATTTGGCATAAATCAGAGACGATTCACTTCAGCAGCTGCAGTGAAATTACTCAGTTTTATGATTCTTTATTCTTTTTTTGGTCGTGTATGAAATAGTCTACCCACAGAATATAGTCTTGCTTTTGTGTTTATGAGCAGTA